AGGCTTCTTATTAAAGGTGGGATTTTAGCTGGTACTTTAAGGGAGTGAGGAGATGAGGACGGAGAGAATTCCATGTATGGAGGACAGTCAGTGAAAATGCCAAGAATTAGGAGATGGAGGTTGGAGGGGAAGTAAGGTATAAGAAGATTGGTAGAGTAGGAAGGATTGAGGTTATGAAGGGCTTTGATTGCCAAACAAAGGATTTTATGTCCTGGAGTGTCATCCACTGGAGGGAGGCATGAGAGTTTATTGAAGTTGATGTGGTTGAACTTTTGCTTTAGAAAGTTCAATCTGAAGGCTGAGTGGAGGATGAACTGGAGTGAGAAGAAAATTCAGGTGGGGAAAGTGACTGGCAGGCTATTGTAATTATCTAATAGTGAAATGGTGGAGGAGTAGTGCCAGGGTGATGGCAGTGTCAGAGGGAAAAGGAGGCATATAAAAGGGATGTTATGAAGGTAGAATCAACAGGATATGTTGCAGAAAGAGTTATTTTTTAAACATTGTTAATTTCCTTTTGTGTTGTTGCTTTTTATATATATCAAAATGATTTTACTGAACTACTATTGATTTCTTCTTTGGCTTTTTTCAGTAATGGTGTTCTTTTTGCACTGATTGGTGTTAAATTCCTTCACCTAATACACCTTATGACTAACAGCATTAATTTACAAGATGACTGACTATGTACCATGGTCTAATGAACTAAGCTAATTAAATTTTAATATATCAAAAATTATAGTTCCTATTTAGTTAATGTGTACCAGACACTTTCCTTCTTGATTAGTGAAGAGGGAAGTGAAGCCTTCCTTAACTCTTGTAGTTACTTCTTCAACTTGTCCACATTGGCCCAGCTCACTGGGCTCACACATTGTAAACTAGAGTTGAGTCAAGACATTACCAAATTTTTTTCCAATTTGAAAGGATTTCCTAACCAACTTAGTAACTGGGAGGAGATAATAGCTCAGATTTTTATGTTTTTTTTTTTTTTTTGTTGTTGTTCATTTGTTTCAGTCGTGTCTGACTCTTTGTGATCCCATTTGGGGTTTTCTTGACAAAGATACTGGAGTAATTTACCGTTTCCTTCTCCAGCTCATTTTACAGATGAGGAAATTGAGGCAAACAGGGTTAAGTGACTTGCCCAGGGTCACATCGCTTGTAAGTGTCTGAGGCTGAATTTGAGCTCAGATCTTCCTGACTCTAGGCTAGGTGCTCTATCCATATCCACTGAGTTACCTGGCTGCCTCAGTTTTTATAATATGGCACAACTGTCGTGAGTTCGACCCTTAACTTCCCTTGTTTCCCATGGATATTGTACCCCTTATAGAGGTCAGCCTTCTAATGGACAAAGTCTGTTGGTAAGGATAGGTATAAGGGAGTGGAGAATGGGAGTATAGATGGAACATGTTAGCCCAACAAATGGGAAAAAAAAACCCAACTCAAAGTCTGAGTGCTACTAACTCTGTGTTGGTACATTCTTTGTATTGGAAAGTCTCTATTCTTTCAGAGTCAAAGTAAATTTTTTAGGCTAGGAAGGAAATAAAGATAATTGAAACTTTATACTTTGCCGAGCTTTTTTGTTTTAAAAAAAGGTCATTGCTTGAATATTTTAGTTGTGATTCCTAATATCCAAAGCTATAAAGGCTAAATTAGGGCTAAGTGACTAATTATCTTCCTCTTGTGAGAGCTCAGGAAAGGTTTACCCTGATGTGTGGGGTGACTATAACTTAGATACAGTTAATTTGTCCTGGTTTTAATTGATTTAAAATACCAATTGTATTCAATTTAAACCAAAAATCAGATTGAATTAATTTGACTAAAAAAAAGCACAAAGTACGTTCTTCCTGTGAAAAGAAACATAAAACTTAAAAATTCATGCAGATTTCATTTTAATGACAGGTTGTACATCTTAAATCAATTATTTACTTTGAGAACTTTTTTCAAATTCATTTTGCAGTTATATCAGAACATTGAGGGATTGAGTCATTCTATCTTACAAAAGCTAAGTGAAATAGATATCTATAAAATATTAAGACATAAACCATTTCTAATTCAACTGGTAAATTATGCATATTTTGAGTATATTTTTTGCTATTTTACATTAGGAATGTAGTACTCAAATCCAAAAATTCTAATCGTTTTATTTAACTAAAACAACAAGCTTCCATATTCTAAATGTTTAAAAGTAATAAGCACATAAACTTATTTTAATACATGTGTAGTTTTGGAGTTTTAACCATAATTGTACTTTCAAACAAAAATTCGCCATCTCTAGTCAATAGAACATCAAATTGCGTTATGCCTTCTACTTAGTGTCTTTACCTTTAATTAATTACAGTTAGCATTATTATTTACTGCACTCATTGGTGTTAATGGAGGATACTCACAGTATAGATTGGAGATCTTACTCTCAAAGTACTTTGAAGTCTTATTAGGGAAATGAGAAATATGTATTTAGAACAATCAGCAAACAGTACAGAGTAGTGCTGAAGTATGGACACATAGTGTTACAGTAAGTCTGAGTTAGGAGCTTTCCTACTTTTTTCAGTTACCAAATGATTTCTTAATTTGAAAGAATTTGGTACAAAAAGAGGAAGTAGATATCTATAAAGATATTAAGAGGTAAATCATTTCTAATTCAACTGGCAAATTATGGATATTTTGAATATTTTTTTTTTACTGTTGACGTTTTTATTACCAGCAAATTTCTCTCTAAATGTACTAAAATGATGTGATTCAAAGAAATTATTGCTATTAAAAGCTGAGCTTAAGTAGTCTTTGCCAAATCTTTTAAGGGACTTCCACCAATTCCCTGGTTTGTCTTTTATTCACTTAACAAATATTAATTGAACAACTACTACGTGCATGGCATTTTGGTGGGTATTTAACAGCATAATAAAGAGGCATGCCATTTTTTGCCTTCCAAGAGTTTAAAATTTAATTATAGTTTTCCTGCATTATCATTTGAGTTTATTTCTTGAATGGTTTGGCATACCCTCTCCTCACCGCTTCTAATTCATATCTATTCCTGTTGTAGAGGAATGATTTCTGGGTGCCTATGTCACAGCCATCTCTTCAACCAACCAACCAACCAACCAATCAACCAACCAACCTTTATTGAGTGCCTACTACCAACAAGATACTGTGTTAGTTGCCGTGGAAATACAAAAATGCATAAGACGTGACAAAGTTTAAGACATGACCTTTCCCTCAAGATGTTTACAGGCTTGTTGGGAAAATAATTCAGGCACACATTAAGAAAAGACTAAAAATATAAAGGCAGTAAATGAAAAGTATCCAATGAGTGGAACAAATTATAAGTACTGTAAAAGTTTAGGAGAAGGAGCTATGATTTCCATTTCGGATGGCTAGGGAATGCTTATGTTGAAAGAATTTAAACAAAGCTTTGAGCAATGGAAGGGAATTTGATAGGTGTGTCTGAGCCGGAAGTGCATTCTAGTTTTGAGAAACAGAGTAAACTCGTGGATGTAGGATACTTAAGAAATCTTTTCAGGGGATAATGTGTCTGGAGACTAGTTAGTCTGGAGTGAAAGGTTCATGGAGGCAGGTACGTAGAGAAGCATATTGAGTCTGGGTAGTTGAAAGTATCTGGAGTATTTTATTCTGGTGCTACATTTTTTGGAAAGACACTGACAAAGTGAAACATCTTAGGAAGATGGTGAACAGGATAGTGAGTGGACTGGAGACTGACTGTGCTACATAAGGTTTAGTTGACGGTAGTGGATTTGGCTGGTTTGGAGAAGATAAGACTTGGAGTGGGGATGGGAAATTGGAAAACTGTCATGTGAAAGAAGGATTAGACCAATGTTTTAATGGATAAGAAATGAATGAAAACTATAGAGGCAGATTTAGGCTTGATGTAAAGGAAGCATCTTACTTTAAAGTATTCCATAAATGTGGAATGGGCTGCTAATAGGGTCCCCATTACTGAAGGATGTATCAGGTGGAGACTGGATGACTCCTGTTCCATGTTGTTGGGAGGCTTTCTGTTAAGGTCCATGTTGAGCTAGATGGCCTTTAAGGTCCCTTCTAGATATGTAATTCTATGATTTTGTGACTGTCAGGCTAAGTAGTCTTCAGTTGTTAAGGGCTGACTTTATTAGTATTGATAATAGAGACAGTAAATTGGACTAATCTATGTTTTTTATTGCCAATATTATATAAAATGTTATATGAATTTATAATCTAAAATACTGCATAATTAAAAGCTGAATCTCCTTTCTCTAAGAAGCAGCATGACCCGTCCACTGATAAAGTGTTGGGCTTAGAAGTCTGGAAGACCTGGGTTCAAATCCCACCTCTAACACTTAGTAGTTACATACATGTTGCAGTCTATTTGAGCCTCAGGCAACTTCTTAGGACTTATCTACTAGAATTCTCCTGGCTGAATTATCTTAAATATAGTGTGGTTTTTGTTTTTGGCTTACTACAAGCATTTTTTTTTTTGGAGGGGTGTGGTGGTGGTGGTGGTTCTGGACCTATTATTTTATCAGTGTGGGGAAACACCCTTCACTAATGTCCATTGGGCAGTTCATCTCTAATTTCTAGTCTGGGACACAGAGATGGTTAAGCGCATTGCCCATGGTCACACAGGTCATGTCAGAGGAAGGACTTGAATCAAGGCTTTCCTAGTTTTGAGAGTAGCCTTTTCTCCACTATGAAGGTCGTTACCTCTCAAAATATGCATTTTAATTTTAAAAAAGTCCCTATACAATTCTCTTGGTGGTATCACTTTGCCATCAAAAGTGAGAAACAGCATTGATAGGACTTTAAGGGAATGTTATGATCTGCTTTCTCTCTATCAGTGATATAAGATGCTGGTAAGGGGAGGGGAGCTGATGCAGGTGGAAAAATTGAAGTTTTCTTGAAGACACAGCAGGACTGAGTAAGCTACTTTTGTAGGCTTCTGTGTATTATCGAGGTACTTAAAAAAGAATTCCTCATAGAAACTCAATGTCTCATATAATCTTTCTCTGCTTTTATAGGTAAAACCTGTAATCCACAGTAGGATCAACGTATCAGCACGCTTCAGGAAACCTCTTCAGGAGCCCTGTACCATCTTGTAAGTTGGTGTAGTTTATATTTGAAGTCAGTTACTTTAATGTCTTGTGTCATTTCAAAGTAGCATCTTTAATCTGTTTGACTCAAGTGCTCTATTTTTTCCTAGCTTGATTGCTAATGGAGACCTTAAAGGTCCCGCGTCACGCCTCTTCATCCCGAGAAAAGCCTTGAGTCAGTGGGAGCGTGTACTTGAAATGGTCACAGAGAAGATACCTTTAAGGAGGGGGGCTGTGCATAGGTAAGGCAAAGAGGCCTTTTCATATGCTAACAAATCATAAAACCTTTTAACGTGTTTTTGCCAAATTTATCTAGTGCTGTTAACCAATGGTCCATTGAGTTCACCCAAATTCTTGATTTTGGAGCGCACCTTTTAAATAAAGAACTACTTTTAAAAATCTAGCCAATCAATTCTTAATTTACAGAGGGCACTCGCAGTTATCTGGCTGTCCAAATCATTGGCAAGTACCCAATGTGATAAAGATATGTGAGTTGTCAATCTGCATATAAATGAGACCCCAATGAAGTGAATTAAATTTATTTCACTGTAAGTCCAAGTCTGAGATGTGTGAAGCATTTTTTTTTAGAAGTGATTTGTCATTATGACAAGAAATTTTAAGAATTTTATTTCTGGAAGGAGGATGACAATGTGGGTGAGAAGGGTAGCAGATTTGAAGTTACATTATATAGGTTCAAATCTCAGTTATTTATTGTTTATTAACCCTATAAGATATGGGTGACCAGGATGGTAAAAGAACTCAAGATCATGACACATGAGGACCATGTTGAAGCGACTGGGGATGTTTAGCCTAGAGAAAAGAAGACTTGGGGGAGCGTGATGTCTCTTTAAGTACTTGAAGGGCTGTCATGTGGAATAAAAAGTATACTTGTTCTGATTGGCTCTAGAGGGCAGGGCTAGAAGAAATGGGATGAAATTGTTGAGAGACAAATTTTGACTCAGTGTAAGGAAGAATTTCCAAACAATTAGAGCTCTGCTAAAGGGGAATAGACTTCTGGAAGTAGTGAGATTCTCCTTCACTAGAGATCTTCAAGCGGAGGCTGGATGATCAATCACTTGTTAGGTTTATTATAGAGTGAATTTTTGTTCTCTCAATGGGTAACACTAGATGACTTCTGAAGTCCTTTCCAACTTTGAGACTTTTTGATGACCTGTTTGCTTAACATCTGTATGTCCTTGGTTGGGCAAATCCCTTGACCTCTGTGGGCCTTGGATGTTAGACTAGATAATGGATTAAAAACTATGGTTGCCTGCTTTTATGCTGCCCATGAGCAAAGGATGTGGTTTGGTTTTTTTTTACATTTTAAAGTAAAGTTTTATTGTATTTAAAATGCATTAACTATTCTTGGCTTTCTGGGTCTTACAAAAACAGGAGGTGGTCAGGATTTGCCTACGGGCCATGGTTCACTGACCCCTGGATTAGATAATCTCTGAACTCACTGCTATTTTTATTGTCATTCAGAAAGAGGAACATATACAAATGCAATAATAATTATAACGATAGCTTGCATTTGTAGAGTACATTCTTTATAATAACCATATGGGGTAGGTGGTGAGTGCTAGTCTACCTTAACACAAATTGTTTGTGATGCTTCCCCAGTGGCTCATTGCTAGGGCCATAGGATACAGAATACAGTTGTGGAACAGTTCTTGAGAAAAAGAAAGAGCGCTGGTTTTGGCATCAGAAGGATATGAATTCAGGGACCATTTCTGACATTAACCTGCCTTGTAACTTTAGGAGCTCGTCACTCAATCTTAGACTATCAGAATTTTCTTATCTTCAAAATGGAAGTGATAATAATACACTGTCGTGTCATTCATGATATTTGTAGTTAACTTTGAAATGTGAACTATTTGGGCTACGTTGACTTTGTTAATACTATGCTCTAACCGGTTGAGGTAACTGGCCCTAGTTGTAAATGAATTATTATAGTTTTGAATTCCCATAGTAAATTGTTGGCATTCTTACAACTGATGGTAGATGGTAGTCCTCAGATAGGATTTGTGCTCTCTTCATAGATTTTGTGTGACAGTGAAATTAGAATAGGGAAATGAGAACCATTCTTTTACATGACTGCTCAGCTAGACTAAAAGTCAGATGTTTAATTACGAGAAGCAGGATGATGTAGGGATTATTTTGGAGCCAGAAGGTCTGGGTTATGTCCCGACTTTGACATCAGCTGTGTAATCCTGATCCCCTCTGAGCCTCAGTTTCAACGTCTTTAAGTGGGTCTTACCAGATAGTCAGTAAGCATTTATTAAGTATTTACTATGTGCCAGGCACTGTGCCAAGTGCTAAGGTTACAAAGAAATACTTTAAAAAACAGTCCCTATCCTTGAGGAGCTCACAGTCTAATGGAGGAAACAGTGTGCAAAGAACTATGTAGAAATTATATACAAAATAAATAGTAAAGAATTAACAAAGGGAAGGCACTAGAATTAAGCAGGTTTGGGAAAGGCTTCCTGTAAAAGGCAGAATTTTTAGCTGGGACTTGAAGGAAGTCAGGAGGCAGAGATGAGGAAAAAGAGCTTTCCAGGCACCGGAGACAGCCAGAGAAAATGCTTGGAGCTGAGAGATGGAGTGTCTTGTGTGAGGAACTGCAGTATCACTGGATCACAGAGTATGGGGGATAGCGGTGGTGGTGGTAAGCTGTACCTAACTCACAGAGTTGTGATGAAAGCACTTTGCAAATGTTAAAAAGTTTAAAAATGTCAGATGTTATAAATGTGAACTATTATTATGCCATTTTACCAGTTACGAAGGCAGGTGTATGTTAACAGACAAAAGTGTGAACATATCATAGTGAAGTAGCAAAGTCAGTGAGAGTTGCTTGTAACTGATCTGGGCCATGTTCACTTAGCCCACTTAGAGGTTAATGATTACCTAAGAGAGTCATTATCCTGTGAATCAGTATATTTATCTCCTAAAATATTCCATATAATCCCTTTTAAACTCTCAGTTTTGTATTTTCTGTTTCATAACAAAAAAGGATAATTAACAGCAACATTTTACACAATAATTGAGGCCCAGAGCAGTGGTTAGTCTAAGTCCTTAATCACTGAACCTTACCTACTTAAGATGTGCAAGTAAAACAAGTCCAACCTTTCTGTCTTCAGAGCCTGTTCCTATCTGTTCTTTCCGTTTATAATTAGCCAAGTTAACTACTGCTTTGGACCTTCATATTTTGAAAGAAATTGAAAATCGAAAAAGGTTTGGGACCAGATAAATGCAAAGAAAATAAGAATCAGGGTTTCCGTTCTGGTGCTTTGGATTGTGTCAACACAATTAAAAAAATCATAAAAATAATAAAAGAGATTTCAACTGTATATAAAGTCAAACCTAATATAGGTCTTAGATTCTTTTTACTTTTTCACAAATGTATGTAACGTTGAATTCTCACTTGTAATTCAGTAAAGATTCTGATAAAACATTGGTATTTTATTCTTTTCTTTTATTGAATGTTACCAATACATATGAAGATGATGGATTGATTAATTTTTTGTGACAATCTCATCTGTGTTTCTGATTGTAGCAGATAGCTTTCAGTTAAATATTTACGTTTGTGGCTAACAGAGAACAAATTGGCACCACATATTTGAACAATTCTATTTGTGATTTGTCTTTTTATTTTCTAAGTTTCCTATTAACCTGCTTTTCATATTCTTTTAAAAATGTGACCAACACATATTAAATAGGCTCATAAAGTAATCATTGTTCTTTTAATAAGTAACAGATTAATTGTAGCTTGTTGCAGCAGTCTTACCGTAAAGGGAGGTTCCTGTAAACCCCTTGATTCTGGCAAAGATATACTGCTCACTTACTTATGAGGTGGGGAAAAAGCCAAGCATTCATGCTATGCTGTTCTGCATCATTAATCCTGAAGTTAGGCTGTGTTCCCTCCCTGTCTCCTCACTTTATTTTTTGACATAATTCAATGTTTATTTTGATGTAGCCCTCTGGCCTTGGGCCATTCTAGCAGAGAATGGGGTTAGACAGTTTGTCATTTGGGCAGATGTATTATTAAAATGCATTTCTTAAAATTCTTACAAAATATTTATGTAAATCTTTGAACAATGAAGATAAATCCTGACTTAAAGCACCAGTCCTCTATGAGTTATGTATTTAGGGTAAAGATTACAGACCGACAGCTGGACGGGAACTAACGGGTGATCTGGTCCAATCCTGTCATTTTGCAGAGGGAGACACTGAGGTCTAAAGAGTTTGACTTTCCCAAGGTCATGCAGGTAGTAAAGAGCAGAGCCAGAATTTGAACTGGGGCCCTCTGATTTAAGATCTATTATTCTTAGTACTGCACCTGACTGATTTCCTTAACTCTGGGACAGTAACAGGAATTTCTTCTAAGGAGAGGCAGATTGATGTAGGAGAAAGAGTCAGTCAGTCAATAAACACTTACTAAGCATCTACTATATGCCAGGCACTGGACTAAGTGCTGGTCAGCACTAGAGACGAGTGTTTGAATCCGGATTCTGACACTTACCAGCTGTGTGACCCTTGGATACCATTTAATTTTTCCAAGCTTTTGTTTCCTCAGATGTAAAAGCCACCTCCTGATTCACAGGGTTGTCGTGAGGAGGTCTGTATTAGGGGTGATTGATTGTAATTAGATTTTTAGACTCACTCGATGTGTAATAGTAATAAACAACTACTCACTTGACTGAATGTCAGTGTGATTTTCATCTTTGGTGAACATTTAATCTTAGTGGTATTATTTCTCAACCAAACACCAAAACTCTGAATATTGAACCATATAAATAATGAAATTTTCAAATACCCCATTTTGAACAAACCTTTGAATACTAATAAATCTGTTTGCCACTAATTTTTACAGACTTTATACTTTAGAAGGAAAACTTGTCCAAAGTGGGTCAGAGTTGGAGAATGGACAGTTTTATGTAGCAGTTGGCAGAGACAAGTTTAAGAAATTGCCGTACAGTGATTTACTTTTTGATAAATCAGCAATGAGAAGGCCTTATGGGTAAGTTCTCACCTTTTTTTTTTTTTAATAGCTAACATTTTATTAGTTATTGCATTAAGCCATTTGCTGATTACCAATAAATTTCATATTTAATTGAAACTCTTATTCAAATGTTAGGATCCAAAGAATTAGTGATATCATAATCTGTATCTTTATGGCTGTGATAAGACAATAAGAAGTTGTATCTAAGAAAATCTGTCTTTCTGAATCTGGGAAAGTACACATGGATTTTATATTGTGTTGCAGACCATGTAATAATTTTGACAGATTTTTTCTTATGAAAAAGATTCACTATAATGAACAAAAAAAAATGTTAAAACTAATGGAAGCTTTAAGACTATCTTAGCAATTTAGACAGAAATAAAAACTATTTTTCAGTTTGGCTCAGGGAGAAACAGCAACTATTTTTTGAAAAGAACCAGTTTTTCATGTGCTCTTTTTATATTAAGTCTGAATATTTTGCATAGTCATTATATTGCACTTGTAAAGAAGTTGAGTTGTTAGTTGTATAGTTAGTATAGAGAAATTGCCTTTATTTTTTGTTACACATACATGTTTTTTAGTTGAGAATGCACAATGGATAATTTCCCTTTGTTCTTGAAGGGTATTATATTTGTGCTTCAACCTTGAAAGAACTTAAGGACTATAAATATACTATTTGTTAGATACATGGCCGCTGTAACTCACTACCACGTCCTTGTCCTTGTCCTTGCCATATTGGCCTTCTATTCTGGCTATTTTTAGCCAGTGGGCATCAGAAGGAGAGAATGGAGAATAACTACCTCATCTTTCTGTATATATCCTACTTTTTGCCGTGAGGCAAAGTTTTGGAAGACAGAAAATAAATCATTGATTTGAATTCTACTGATTCAGATTTCATAATAACTGGGAAAGAAGATAATGTCAACAAAATAATGAAGAGTGATGGTATTTGAACTATTAAAGAGAACAAATATTTTCAGGTACCCTAGAAGCACCAAATGCTATTTTAATCATAAATCACTCATCCATTTAAAAAAATCTAGATAAAAAAGTTAACTCAGTTTGTTAGGTAACTTGCTAATCTACTTCAAGTTACATATACTTTAAAGGAATAAAAACTGCATTTATTTTAAAGTGTTTTATGAACCATACTTTCTCACCAATATGGATGGGTCTTTAATTCATTAAGGTTTTAAAATGTGTGTATCTGTTACCTTTCATTTGGTGGAATTGGGGATGGCAGTGTAAATTAGGCTGCTTTCCAACCATGTATCTGTTTAATATGTGGCTTTAGAGCCTCAAAATCTCATGAGATTTTTTGTGAATATTGGTAATTTAAAATCTACTTAAAAAACTTATCTTGCAGATAAATGCCAACAGTTTGCTAGCCTCCTCACCCCACAAGGGGTATATACTGAATAACATCATCATTATTTACTGCTTACCTAAGCAGAAAATACTACTCAGCCTGGAAAGTGGGTTTTTGCATGGTAAATTCAAAACATTGGGGCTTGAAATTTGAATTCTTTGAAATAAATTTTTGAATGTTCCTAAAAGCCCATAGATGAATTTAAGTTAAGGAACTATCTAGGAAATTGTAGTCAATAGATTGATGCTAACATGAGTTAGCATTTTTCTGTGTACCAATGGATTAATGTTTTTTATCATGGTACTGTGTATGTTATTATTGGTAATACAATATTCCAATTCTTAAATTATCATTTCTTTCTGCAGTCAGAAAGCCTCTTCACTACCACCTATTGTTGGATCCAGAAAATCTAAAGGGAGTGTAAGTATCAGCTGCTGTAGCCATTCTCCTTAATGTTTTCAGTTTCCAAAGGATGCAGAGAGGCTGTCCTTTGGGTTTCAATTAAATCAGAAGATAAAATTCAGCTACCTAGAGATATAGTTGTGGTTATATGAACCAAATGTATAATCACAATATTACAACTGGAAGAATAGATTCTTGAGACCTAGACTGTAAATTCTGCTGTAGAAGAGCATTATGGGGTGGGGTATAAATGGATAAAACATTGCTGAAGTGGGACTCAATTTTTTTCACAGGGGTGCATTGTTCTGTATGTATCTTTATCTCTCATTTTAAATCATGATTGAAGCCCTGAAACAGAATCTGTGATAAAGTCAGTATTATACTGATTTGAATTAGTTGGCATATCTGTCCTCTGCCTTATATCAATGATAGTGACAAGTGGAGTTTGCCTTAAGAGTATGGTCGAGGGGCAGCTAGGTGGCACAGTAGATAGAGCACCGGCTCTGGAGTCAAAAGGACCTGAGTTCAAATCCAACCTCAGATACTTACTAGTTATGTGACCCTATGCAAGTCACTCAACCCCCCCCCCCAAAAAAGATAATACTCCCTTTTCATGTCCCAGAAGGGAAAGGTATGACTTGAAGTACCTAGCCTTCCTTAATAATCTGTCATGGATTTTTCATCTATTCATTCATCTTATTCATTCACTAATTTCATCCATTAATTCATTAAATCATTCCCAGGACTTTGAGTTGACATTTGTATTTGGGTCCTGCAACTGCCACCAACTAATTATGTGACTGTGAATAAATCACTTGCTTTAATTTTTCTAATCTCTAAAATGATCATAGTAATTACACTACTTGTGACACAGGGCTAACGTAAGGACAGTGGCCAGTATACTATAAAGCTCTCTATAAATGTGGCCTAGCATGATATTATACCCATTTCTATCTACCATTATATATGTGGGTATATATGTATATATCTACTCTAATATCTACTCATTTACTATCCTGTAATTATAGGCAAAGGTAATTAATTCAACTAACATTGATACTGATAAACATTTAATAAGTTGAGAGGCATGTACTGGGTGCTGATAAGTCAAAGCCATAGTGGTGGCACAGTGGGAAGAACTTTGGTCTGACAGACAGGGGACCTGGGTTAAAATCCCTCTGAGATTCAAGCTTGTGATCTTATCTATAAAATGAGAGAGGGTTATTTAAGTAACCTCTAAGGTCTTTTCTCACTCTAAAATTGTATGGTTCTCTGAGATCTGGTATTTACTGGTATGTAATTTTCTTTGGCTGTGTCTGCCAGGGGTTATTGGTTCTACTATTTTGATTAAATTATTTGGTTAATCAAATAGCTGGTTTGACTTTTTGTCCCACTAAATTAGCTAAATTGAGCTGTTAATTTGGCATCATGGAGATCTAGTTGTAGCCAAGCAATTGCAATTTTTACTGATAATTAACTTCATGTAATTTTCTTTAGTTTTTTTTTACCTTAGCTAAAACACTCTAGAACTGTTAGACTATAAAAAAATCCTAGATGACTATGAACATAATGCTATTAGTATGTCAATCAACCGAAAAAAAAAAACAAAAACCCAAAACTTTTTGAGAGAGCCAGCACATTGTAGTGGCAAGAGTGCTACATTTGGCATTGGGAGATACTTGACTTTAAAACCTGCTTTGATCACTATTTATTTAGATGAAGTAGAACTTATAATTATTGTATTGTATTGTATCACTATTTTAAGTGATTTTTAATCACTTAAAATCACTATTTTAATCACTATTGTATTGTATCACTTATAATTATTGTATTGTACCACTATTTTAAGTGATTTTAATCACTTTAAAATCACTATTTTAATCACTATTGTATCACTATTTTAGGACTATATCTAAGTTAACTTCACTTTTCTGAGCCTCAGTTTTCTCATCTGTGTGAAGTGGGCATAACTATCTCTAGCATTTGTCTTATAGAATCACTGTAAAGATCAAGTAAGATAACGAATGTGAAAATGCTTTACAAACTTTAAAGTGGTATATAAATGTCCGCCATTATTATTATTTTTGATCATGTACTTTGTATACATGAGTACACAAAGGTTGGGTACTCTGACGGTATAAAAGAGTATAAAAGTTAGTTCCTGCCCTAAGAAAATTTTAATCTCTGTGAGAAGCGGGAAATGGACAAAAGAAAATAGTTACAAAGATATGGAAACCTATGATAATGTCAAATGAATGCCAGTATTTCAAAGGGGAGAGAGAATACTAGGCTGGTGGTAGGAGAAAATGTTGTAGATGAAGTAGACCTTATAATTATTGTAGGCAGTAATTATCAAAGCTGTCTGGTACTGGTTAAGAAATGGAAAGGTAGATTGGTGGAACAGAGTAGACATACAATTTATAGCAGCAAATAATTATAGTAACCTTAGGAATTTGTTATTTGGTAAAAATTGTTGAGAAAACTGGAAAGCAGTATGGCAGCAACTGGCCACAGACTAATATCTTACACCATTAACCAAGAGAAGGTCAAAGTGGATACATGACGTAGATATAGAGAGATATTACAAGAAAATTTAAAGAACATGAAACATATTACTTATTCGACTTATGGATAGGTGAACAATTTATGAATAAACAAGAGCAGAGTGAGGTGTAAAAATGGATAATTTTGATTATATTAAATTAAAAAGCTTTTGTACAGATAAAACAAATGTAGCCAAGATCAGAAAGAAAGCAGAAAATTGGGAAAAAAAATTTATAGACAGTTTCTCATATAAAGTTTCATCTCAAGTATATAAAGAACTTTGTCAAATCTATAAGAATATGAGTCATTCCTCAATTAATAAATGGTCGAAGGATATGAGCTTCAAGGAATTACACAATCCAGATAAGTAGAGAAGACAAGGGGATTTCTCTGTATGTGTGTGTGTGTGTGTGTGTGTGTGTGTGTGTGTAAATAGCTTGAGCAAAGACATCATGAAGTGCTTGGGAGAAGATGAGTCAACTGGAGTCGGGGTTTTATGCAGGGGAGTTGTTGTGGTTCAGTTGTTTCAGTCATGTCTAACCATTTGTGACTGTATTTGATGTTTTCTTGGTAAAGATGCTGGAATGGTTTACCATTTCCTTCTCCAGCTCATTTTATAGGTGAGGAAACTGAAGCAAACAGGGTTAAGTGACTTTTCCAGGGTAACACAGCTAGTATCTGAGGCCAGATTTGAGCTCAGGAAGTTGAGTCCTCCTGACTCCAGACCCAGCATTCCTGGCATGCTGCCCCATGCAGGGGAGTAGTAGATATTAATTTTGGAAAGATAGGTTGGACTCAAGATTACAGAAGACCTTGAATGCCAGGTTTATAGTTTGGACTTTATCTTGTAGGCATTAGAAAACCTTTTGATGTATTTGAGCAGGGGAGTGACGTGATCAATATTAAGAACTTTATTCTGGTTTCAGCGTGCAAGATTGATTGGAAGGAAAAGAGACTGGAATAAAGGAGACAAGTTAGGAAACTTACATATTTCAGATAAGAGATAATTAATTATAGAAGAAGAATCCGTAGAGCTTTGTTACTGGTTGTATGTTGGAGTCATGGGAGAGGAAGGAGTCAGTGATGACTTAAAATTTCAAACAAAGTTGGCTAGAAAAATAGCATTTCTAAAATGGGGTATTCTATATATGTACCTGGTCCTGCTGCTCACAAACTAATTTGGCATCTGACATTGGTCCTTCCTCTCTTCTATCAGTCTCTCCTCACCCCATCCTTTACTTAATCTCCTCCCTTCCTTGAATATAGATTTCTATATTCAACTGATTGTGTATAGGATTCCCTTTCTGAGCCAATACTGATGAAAGTAAGGTTCAAGGAATGCCCATCACCAATTCTCCCATCTTTCCTGCCACTGTAATAGGTTTTTTGTGTCTCTTCATATGAAATGATTTACCCCATTCTACCTATCTCTTCCTTCTGTACCCAGTGTACTCCTCTTTCTCATACCTTAATTGTTTTTTATGCCATTCCCTTAAATTCACCTTATATCTGTAACCACTGTCAATGTATATTCCTTCTAGCTGTACTATTATTGATATACTTTTTTAAAGAATTACAAGTATCATCTTCCCATGTAGGGATGTAAACAGTTCAGCTCCATTGAATCCCTTGTGATTTCTTTCCCCTTTTCCCCTTTTTAGACTTTTCTTGGCTCTTTTTTTTTAAGATCAGTTTTTTGGTTCAATTCTGGTCTTCTCCTTATGAAAGCTTGAAATTCTTTAATTTCGTTGAATGACCGTTTTCCGTCTGGGGTATTATGATGCTTAATTTCACTGGGTAGGTGATTCTTGGTTATAGTTCTAGCTTTGCCAGCTAGAACTATCATATAGTTCTGCCCTCCAGAATATAATGTTCCATGACCTCTGATCCTTTAATGTTGCAGCTGCCAAGTCCTGTGTAATCCTGATTGTAGCTCCTCGATATTTGAGTTGTTTTTTTCTGGTCACTTGTAGTATTTTTTCCTTGACCTGATCGTTCTGCAATTTGGCTATGTTGCTCTTTTGACTTTTTATTTTTGGGACCTCTTTCCTGAGGTGATCGATAGATTCTTTCAATGCCTATTTTCCCCTCTGGTTCTAGGATATCAGGGCAGTTTTCCTTGATAATTTCTTGAAAGATGCTGTACAGTTCCTCCTTTTGATTATAGCTTTCAGGTAGTCCAATGATTCAGACATTGTTTCTCCTGGATCTACATTCTAGGTTAGTTGTTTATCCCATGAGGTATTTTACATTTTCTTCTATTTTTTATTTTTTTGAATTTGTTTGATTGATTCTTGATGTCTCATAGTGTCATTAGTTTCCACTTGCCCAATTCTAACTTTTAAGGAGTTGTTTTCCTCGGTTAGTTTTTTGTACCTTCTTTTCTATTTGGTCAATTGTATTTTTTAGGGAGTTGTTTTCTTCAATGGATTTTTGTATCTCCTTTTTCATTTGGCCAATTCTACTTTTTAAGC